GAGATTTGAACCGCTGAACTGCTGATCTAGCAGTAGCCTGCAGTGCTGCATTTAACCACTGCGCCACCTTGGTAGGTGCGACACAGTACTAGGAGGAGACTCTATGGTGGGGGAACTGGACTTCTGGTTGGCAGGGAAAAATGGACACAGTGCTAGGAGGAGACTTTATGGTGGAAGAACCAGACTTCTGATCAGCTCCAGAATTGAACAGGGGGCTTTATGGCTCTTTGAGTGTTTAAGAATGCTGAACCCTGCTCTAGATTCTATACAGTACTTATAGAAGCTTTCTTCATGCATTCAAGCTAATTATTTCTTCTGCAGGAGTTTTAAAGGGAAGGTATATTCAATTAGATTGAATATACAGGTAGCCCTCGACTTACAGCCACAATTGAGCCCAAAATTTATGCCGCTGAGAAATTTGTTAAGTGACCTTTGCCCCATTTTACGACTTTTCTTGACACATCTGTTAAATGAATCACTATAGTTGTTAAGTTAGTAACATGGTTGTTAAGGAGATCGCATGACCCTGGGATACTATAAGCGTCACAAATATGAACTAGTTGTCAAGCATCCAAATGTAAATCACGTCGCCCTGGGGGTACTGCAATGATCATACATTTGAAACACGGCCATAAGTCACTTTTTTCAGTGCCATTGTAACTTTGAACAGTCACTGAATGAGCTGTTGTTAAGTCGAGAACTACCTGTAAATAAACCAGCGTATGCACTCCAGGACCTGAATAAAGGTTTGACACCCATTGAGAGTTGCACACCAATGGTGGGTTGCAAATCCCATTCCAATCGGTTCGGCTGGAACGGGCCTGGCGTCATCCACATGGACGGGCGTGGCACGTGAAAACATGCGCACAGTGCGTGCATGCATCGGACCTGCCTGTGATGCCTCCCCAAGCCTCCGCAATGCTCCAGCTGCTTGGCAGGGCCTGTGTGCACCATGCACGTGCACAGAAGCACCAAAGGCTGAAAGGACGGGTAAGGAGCTCGGGGGACGGGGGGCCCTCCAGTGCACCATACCAGAACAGTACCCAGTGCTCTGGGCAGGCTCCGGTATGCCCGTACTGGGGTATACCGCCTGCAACCCACCACTGCTGCACACCCATTTAAGTAACCAAAAAGTCAGATTCCAGTTACAGATCTCCTTCAGGTCATATGAAGGTCAAGACGAGAAAGAAACGGAAATAGAAGCCAATTCTGTGGAATGGAAAGCTTGAAAAAACCCCAATATTTGCTGTGTGATTCATCTGATCATGCAGCTACTTTGGAAAATGAACAAAACATTTGTCACGTAAAGAAACTTTTGACACTGGAGGATATTGATTTGATTATCGCATCATATTCCTTCTAGAGAAATGTTAGATTACTGCATGCCCTATTGTATTGTCCCAGGGTGGATCAAAAGCTTAGGGAGGCAGGCTTGGGTCAATGTTGATGATGAAATTAAGAGCGAGGGAAGGTGGAAAGAACTATCAGTCAACGAGAATTGTATAGTTACACCAATTGCACTGCACTCTTTTTTACAGTGAAAAGATGCAGAAACAACACTAGAAAACCCAAGAAATTTATCAATGAAAGAAACAGTGTCCATATATGACAAGGTAATTCCACATATTTTAAAAACATAGTGTGCCTTATCTGGGAGCACTAAGCTTTAAGACTATCTGCAAACCTTCCCCCACCGCCACCACATTCTTTCTCTCTGTCTCATGTATATGCAGATTAAAAGGCTGGTTAGTACAGCTGTTTAGGGTTGTTCTGTTTAACAACTAACAAGGTCTTCCTCTAACATAAATAGGATGATTAAATCTAATTATGCACAAGGTTTCATTTGTCTGTAACTTTGATCCTACAAATAAAGGGCTGATAAACATCAGCGGGACGTCTAAGGGTCATTTGAAAGATAATACACAACATACAATGCTCCAAAGCAAGTTTGCATATAATGCAGTTGAAACAAATGCTTCACCTCTTGATATGGTCACCATCAGTCTCCCATTTCAGTTCAGTTGCGATGGGCTTGACCAGGCTGCCAAAATACCTCTGAAAACAGAAGCAATAAGGGTTCATGTTGGAATCTCTATATAGCAATCAGATTTAAATAGTCTAATTACATTCAGGAGACCTCCTTTTTTAAAAAAAAAAATTTTTTTTTTATTACTTAAACATTAAAAACATTGGACACAGTGTGACATTTCTGGTTAAATGTAATGATTAGATCTTATAACAATTACATTTTATATCCATTACACAGGTGTGTGTAGTTAGTCAGACTACCTGTCCGTTGACCCTAATTACTAATCATACAAATACATATCCAATTACACATTCTTAATACCAATATTTTTAACTTGTCTGTGTTTTTCTGTCTTTTCCCCTCATTTCTAACCATCAGTACCATTTGTCCCAGATTTCGTGATATTCCATCTCACCCTTGTCTTTGAGTTCTAGAGTCAGTCTGTCCATTTCTGCACACGTCAGTATATTATTTATTATTTCTTGTTCCGAGGGAACAAGAACCAGTCTTGCCACTGTTAAAATATGCAGCATTAAATATAGTCCACCTTTGCCATGTTTTTCTTTTGTGATCCCTAGTAGAAATAATTCTGGTCTCAACTCCATCCATTGATTTAGCATCTCTTCGAAATACTTTTTTATCTGGTGCCAAAAAGCCGTAGCTTTCGTGCACTCCCACCACATATGGTAGAAGGTCACTAGTGCAGCATTGCATTTCCAACATCGTGGCGATAAATTTGTGTTAATTTTAGCTAATCTTGTGGGTGGGATGTGCCACCTATAGAACATCTTGTATAAGTTTTTCAGGTTTCAGGAAACCTCTTGAGGTCATCAGCATTAAGCAGAACATCAAGAGAAAACAGTTGATTGCAATTTCTATGCTAACTATCAACATTAGTACTCTCTACAGTATATTAAACATTACAGTAGGAATTTGATTATGATTGAAATGGATGAGTTTCTCTTATCCCAATGGCAGTTCATAAAAACGAACTTCCTTTTGAATAGATGGGAATGGATATAGTTAAAACATGGTCTTTTTTAGGGCTAATCTGAGGCCATAAAACAAGAGACTTTGCATTAAGTGGACTTTTGACACTGACTGCAAAGTCACTAAAAGAGATCAGGCGTCAGGAAGCAAAACAGGTTACTGCTTATCCTGCTGTCATTGTGTCTAGTCAGATAGCTTTCCCACTGGATACGTTTCAATTGCACTACTATTGTCCCAAACGTCTGCATTCTCTTGGGTAAACAACATTGTTCCAATGAAATAGTACAAGATCTCTGTTTCCTTGAGAGGAGCTGATATTAAATCTCTCTAACAACTGGTTATTTATATGTGTGAATGACCTTTTTCATTGTACCACAGAAAAGACAAAGTTCTAGAATTCCCCAAACTTAAGTAATTATCTCATTCTTAAGTCTAAAATTACAGAATAGCATACAAATTTTTATATTTTCCACAAATTAGCTTAGGTTTTTATATTTTCAATAAAATATCCTTCCTTCCTTCCTTCCTTCTTTCCCTCCCTCCCTCCCNATTCTATTCTATTCTATTCTATTCTATTCTATTCTATTCTATTCTATTCTACTCTACTCTACTCTACTTTATTCTGCCCTATATAAGGCACATGACATTATTAAGAAATGTAAGAAATTGTTAGCTCTACCAAGAATAATGAATAGCCAACTGAGGCTACAGGCCAGCATAGACAATGATTATGGTATGACTACCTTCTATAGACCTTCATTATGCCTAAGGTGAGTCCCTGCTGTTTTGAGTTTTGGAGCGATTTGGAGTCACCTTAACTGGTTATCCTATGTACTGCAAAGCGATGGATAGGGTATCTGCCTGCACAGACAGCTATCAGTGATATCTCAAAAACTTTCAATCAAAGATTTGAAAGGCTCTAGAGTTGGGGCATTGCTACCACCTGAGAAGGAACTGTGAAAAGAAGAATCATTCTTCTTTGGAATTCAAAGTGGTGAATTCTCTTGGCCAACCTTGCGCTTTCAAAAGAAACTCCTATCACGTTAATGCCACTTACTCTGATTTTTCTAAGTTTGGAAGCCAAGTTGGATTTGGCCTGGATCTACTTAAATGGGACATCATCAAAGAATTCCACCCTATAGGAGAGACTGGAACTTAAGAAAACAGTTCAGAGGAGGAAAGCAATTTTCAAACCACTTTGGTATTAGCCCTCCATGGATGTGATTCATGAAAATCTTTACTTTGTGGATGGTTACTATCCATTAGGTTTGATTACCTGCTGATGCTGATTTATTGTAGAATGTTATATTTGATGTTTTCCCCTCTTCCCACTTCACCGGAATATTCCACTTGTAACTGAAAATTCAGAAAGGAGACATATTTTTAAAAGAATTTTTGTAATGAATGAATGCCACCATTTTTGAAAGATATTATTAAAACATCTGTGGTTTTGCTGGTTAGAATATTTGCTTCAATATACCCATTTTTTCACACGACCATTGCTGCATTCCCATGGTCACATGATCAAAATTTGGACACTTGGCAATTGATTCGTATTTATGACAATTGTAATATCCTGGAGTCATGTGATCACCTTTTGTAACCTTCTGCCAACTAAAGCAAAATGAGGAAGCCAGTTTCACTTTACAATCGTGCTACTGACTTAACAACTGTAGTGATTCACTTAACAACTGTGGCCAGAAAAGTCATAAATGGGGCAAAAGTCACTTAACAACTATCTTGCTTAGCATCATAAAGTTTGGGACAATTGTGATTGTAAGTTGAGAACTACCTGTAGCTCAGCTATAGGAATTAGCAACAGTTCCAACAATGTAGGCTGCCTTTACCATGCTAACCTGTCTGCCCATCAAATTTAGTTTTACTCAAACTTACTCGGCCGCTGCTTTCCTTTAGAGACCTTTTGAATGCAAACAGATACTCTGTCAGTGAGGAATCAATGAATCTCCAGCAAAGCAATGACTAATCAAGCTATTGAAATGAATTGATCAATAGCAATAGCACTAAGACTTATATACCGCTTCATCATGGCTATGGAGATTCTCACACATCCAGGTCATGGTTGTCCCAAAGTTGCTTTTTCAAGAGGCAACTGGACTTTCGGTTCCACCACAAAACCGCGGACGACAAAATGGCGGTCGACAAAAGCACGTATGTGACGTCATCACAGCGCGACGAAAANCTTTGAACTATGGTGCTGGCGGAGACTCCTGTGAGTCCCTTGGACTGCAAGGCAATCAAACTGGTCAGTCCTAGAGGAGATCAACCCTGACTGCTGTTTAGAAGGCCAGATCCTGAAGATGAAACTCAAATATTTTGGCCACCTAATGAGAAGGAAGGACTCACTGGAGAAGAGCCTAATGCTGGGAAAGATTGAGGGCAAAAGAAGAACGGGCCGACAGAGAATCAGGTGGCTGGATGGAATCACCGAAGCAGTAGGTGTAAGCTTAAATGGACTCCAGAGGATGGTAGAGGACAGGAAGGCCTGGAGGAACGTTGTCCATAGGGTCACGATGGGTCAAACACGACTTCGCAATTAACAACAAATACATTTCAGAAATGCAGTAGGACTCATTTTTTTTAAAAAAAATGACTACAGATTCATGAAGTCAGTTCTTCAGCATTATTGCAGAAGGAAAATTAATGTGAGGACTAGAGATTTTTATTGTTGTTTTCATGGTATATTCAATTTCACAGGGAACTTTACCTGAAATTTGGGATAGAGTATCGTATCATCTTCAATCATGTGTCCAATATAGGATACCGCTACTACAGCCCTTTGCCATGGTATATATTCTTTCTCGTCAAGCAGATACTTTGTAAGGTTCAATGCATCAGCATACTTCAGAAGGCCAGCTCTAATGGGGAAATAAAAAGCAAGGAAAATGAAGAAACCTATTAGGAATTAAATCCAATGGATTATCACTTATTTATTAATTAGTTATTTAGTTATTATTGCTGTTATCTGTTAGGAGTTATTCTATCCATAAATGAGCACATAGTGTTTGATGATCTAATCGTCAGTTTATATAAAACAGATTAAGGGAACTGCAATAAGAATAAAATCACATGTAGCTTGCAGTATGTACTATACATTTTGGTATGTTTGTACGGAGAGCAGCCTCATAAAACTTTAAAGATCTGACTAACAGCATTCCAAATTGCAAATTCAGTAAGTACCATATTTTACGGAATATAAGACGCACCGTAGTATAAGACGCACCAAGGTTTTGAAGAGGCAAATTTTTTTAAAAAAGTTTTTGCATCCTGCAGACCTCCCAAAAACGGCCTGTTTTTCGGAAAAACGGGCCCATTTTTTTAAAAAAGAGGCATGAATAGCCTTTAGGAAGCTTGTAGAGTGATCCTGGGGGGTGCCCCCCCCCAAAACGAGCAAAAAACGGCCCATTTTTCATGAAAACCTTCCCCTTTTTGTCAAAAAAATTGCATGAATGGCCTTTAGGAGGCTTGTAGAGTGCTCCTGGGGGCTGGTGGGGAGCAAATTTAACAAAAAAATCATCCATTTTTCACTCATTTCTGCCCTCCCCAGCCCGGCTATTTTGGTGAAGGGGGCGGGATTTCAGGAGGCAAAAAAATGCTGTATTCAGTGTATAAAACGCAGATTTTCAGCCTCCTTTTTGAGGAAAAAAGGTGTGTCTTATATTCCAAAAAATACAGTACAGACTTTCCAGATTCACTGATTCTAGAACTAATGGAATATCTATATTGCAAAATCCAACGATGAATGATGGCTTCTGTTTTCTCAAAAAAAAAAAAGAGTTTCTTGGGAACTAAGTATGGCAGTAAGAGAATAAACCTCAAGGAACGAAAGGACATTTGTAATTACTCTGCAATAAGTTCCTCTGTGTTCCCTGGATATTATTGCAAAGTAAATGTGCATAGGATTGCAACCTTAGCAACAAGAGAATGAATTGTAATATATTTGCAGGTGTCCATTCACATATGTTTCTTGAGGTAATATTATGTTAAACAGCTAACTTGTAATATAGCATCAAACAAATTGTATTTCATTCATTTACTTACTTTAATTACGAGACCTACCTGGCCAATGCAAAGGCATCGTCTATAAAACCGGCGCGATCAGCTAGACTAAACCTCTAAAAAGGAAAAAAAAAAAAAAGGGAAGCAATTGACATCAGATGGGTAAAATTAAAATGCAGTGAATAATCATCTCCAAAACTGAACCAGCGTTTAATTTGAGCAGACTGACCTGATGGTCCTTCCTCATAATATCAGCTACATCACGCCAGACGTGGGGTTCATAATTTACACGATAAAAACCAACATGATCCTTGTTTACTTTCAAGAAAGAATCGGGAGGAGGATTACCGGGTCGTGGAATAGTAATTCCTGTGGTGGTATCAACAACAAAAAAAGTAGGGAATAAAGTTACAAATATGTTGCAGTTACAAAAGACAAACATTAGGAAAAGCCAAAACTGATACAACACTGACTTTATTTAAAAGGACTACTTTTTAAAAATGCAGACAGGGAGATACCCAGAGAGAATTATTATGGGGAGGAATTTAACATTTTTGCTGACTTCACCATTTCCTTTCCAATAGCGGGAAACAAGAGGAGAGAGAAAAATCTTCTACCCTTAGACAATTCTCACCAGGATCTCAGCAAAAGTGAAAAAGCTAAAATCCTCTTGCAATATATCTAATAATTTACAAGCACCTACTTATTCAGCCTCTACAACATTCATTTCACATCTCATCTATTTTGAGTCTCTGGATGTGGGCAGCTGATCAAATCAATAGTGGAGATTTATGGGAGTTTCCTCAGAATTAGCAACCACATCTGGATATTGTTTGTCCTCTAACATTTTTTTAGCAGAACTGCAATGCAGTTGCCTCCAACCCTACTCCATCTGTACTATGTAGAGTATTGAGGGCCGCATCAGGGTTCTGATTGACTGGGGAGGAGACGGGCCAGCGTGGGGCATAGCCAGATCAATGTTACTCGTGTCAGGGGCACCTAGGGTGGCCCAAGTGCCAAGGAAGCACACCCAGGCCCTCCCTCCCTCATTATAATCTCCTCCCTTCCTTCCTTCCTTTCTTCCTCCCTCCTCAAAATCCTTTGTTTTCCTTTCATCTTTATTCTCCTTTCTTCTTCCTTCCCCTCTTTCCTTCTTTTTCCTTCCCTGCTCTCTTCTCATCTTTCCTTCTTTTTCTTTGTCTTTCCCCTTTCCCTTTCTCCTTTCCTGTCCCTTTTTGCATGTTGAATGCAAAAGGGGAAATATTTTTCTGTTTGTTTAGTTTTGATTTTAGTCTGTTTGGTTAGCCCTCTGCCAGCAAAAATGAAGCCCGAGGAGGCTGTGTGCAGCCCCACTGAGCTCTGTTTTTGCTGGCAGAGGCACTGTAGAGGTCCTTCGCTATTTCCAGGGTGCCCCCTTGGGCCAGATCTAAGTACCCCACGCACCGGATCTGGCCCTCAGTCTTTGAATTTGACACCCTTGGTGTACAGCATTCAAACAATGCTAAAGAAGTGCTTTTTTTAGACTGGGTTCATATAATCTACTAGCCTACACTAAAGAAGTCTTGGATAGCTATTGTTCTTTATAAGAATTCAGCCCGTGTTTTTTGCATGTTGTACAAATTGAGCCATCACTGTTTAGGCATTGAATAGCATGTTAAATTAGCCTAAAATATGGCTGGAAAGAAAAGGGCTAAATTTTTATGATTATCATAGTTTAAATAAATTTGACCATGGTGTGGCTGATGTGGTTTATTCCGTGGCACGACATAACCGCGATGTCAAAAGTGCGCCGACAACAGCGCGCCGACAACAGCACGCCGACAACAGCGCGCCGACAACAGCGCACCGACAGAAGCGCGATTTAACTTAAGGTAAGGTTTAGGGTTAGGTTTAGGGTTAGGTTTAGGGTTATTTTTAGGGTTATGTTTAGGGTTAGGTTTAGGGTTATTTTTAGGGTTATGTTT